CCAATGAATTTTGACATGAAGTCAGTTGAATGTGAGAGTAGCTACTTCTACTTGCTTTTGGTCTTTATTTGCATTGAATAKCTTTTTCTGTTCTTTTACTTTTATCCTGTGGCTRTCTTTGCTTGTAAGATGAGTCTCTTGCAAATAATATATAGTTGGGTCTTTTTGGGGGAGTGGGGAGGTACTAAAAATTGAACCCCTTGGTGCTTAACTATGGAGCCACATCCTTAGCCCTTTTTATTTTTTATTTTGAGACAGGGACTTGCTAAGTTGCTTAGAGTCTCTTTAAGTTGCTGAGGCTGGCTTTGAATTTATGATCCTCCTGCTTCAGCCTTCTGAGMTACTTCGAGAACAGGCATGTGCCACCACACTTGAGTGGGTCTCTGCCAATATATATTGTTTAATTGAAGAGTTAAGACTATCTACAGTGTTACTATAGAGAGACATTTATTACTTCCTGCCATCTTGATTTATTTCTAATGTTTAATTCAGTTCTAATTCTCATTTGTTTAGCTACTTTTCTAATGTGATTTATCCATTTGGGGGCACTGAAGTTTGTTTTTAACTTTTGTGTATAGTATTTCTTTAGGTTTTTTTCTGTAGTTCTGACTTAGTAGTCATGAATTCTTTTATTATATTTTTATTTTGGGAGACCTTTATTTCTTCTTCAATTCTGAAGGGTAGCTTTGCTGGATATAGCAATCTTGGTTGGGGTAGTTTTTTGTTTTTTTGTTTACTACCAGGGCTTGGAGTACATCCTTCCAAACCTTCCTGACTTTTAGAATCTCTAATGAGAAATTATGTTTGACTTACCTCTAAATGTGACTTGATGTTTTCCTTGTTCTGTGTGGGGCACTTTTTTCAACATTTTTTAATTGATCCATTATAATTGTATATAACAATGGGATTTGTTGTTATATATTAGTACATGGAATTATATAACGATATTTTAATTATAATGTGTTATAGAGATATTCTTTTTTGATTTTTATCTATGAATGTCTCCTGTATCTGGGTGCCCATATCATTCCCAGGTTTAAAAATTTCTCTGAAATTATTTCACTGAAGAGATTATCCATGCTCTTAGCTTGTGTCTTGGATCCCTCTTCAGTTTCAATGATTCTTAGTTTTGGTCTTTTATTGTTGTCCCAGATTGCTTGCATCTTCTGATCTCAATTCCTTATTTTCCTTTCTTTATTGTGGACTGAGTTTTCCAGTAAATATATAGTTTGTGTTCAGTGCGYATGTCTTCTATGTGATCCTATTTATTGGTGAAATTTTTTTAATATTTATTTTTTAGTTTTAGGTGGACACAACATCTTTATTTTATTTTTATGTGGTGCTGAGGATCAAACCCAGTGCTTCATTCATGCTAGGAGAGCACTCTGCCACTGAGCCACAACCCCAGCCCCTATTGGTGAAATTTTTAACTGAATTTTTTATTTGATTTATTGAGGATTTCCAGGATTTCTGTTTGGTTCTTTTTCAGAATATCTGTTTATTGTCTTTTGTCAAAATTATAACTAATTTTATGTATTTTTCAACTGGGTCCTTTCTTTTTAAATTTTTTTTTGTAGTTGTAGATGGACAATATGCCTTTATTTTATTTCTTTTTATTTTTAAGTGGTGCTGAGGATCAAATCCAGTGCCTCACATGTACTAGGAAAGTGCTCTGCCACTGAGCTATCACCCTAGCCCTGGATCTTTTCTTGATACCTCTTCTCCTTTACTTTCTGTGTTTTCTCTTAGTCCATTCCTTAGATCTTTTAGTTTATTGATGATTTTAACCATCAACTTTTTAAATTCTTTGTCTGTGATTTCATCCACATTAAAGTCTGTGGATTCAGTTATTGAGGGGTTATAGATTTTTGGAGGTGTCTTGTTGGCCTGTTCCCTCATGTTATCTGAGATCCTGTTTTTGCACATCTGTTGAGWTGAATTCCTCTTCCTATTTTATGTTAGGGTTCTTTAGTGAGTAGTTATTTCTTAATAATAATCCCTGGGCTGGGGATATATCTTAGCTTCAGCACATCTGATCAGTGTAATCAAAGTGTTAATTTCAACCACCAGTACCTCTTTGAAAGGAAAGAACAACCTCTATTAGCAATAGTAATTTAAGAGCAAACCATATATCAACATATACTATATAATCTATTATTACTGTTTATCACTATAACTTTTGGGGGGAATATCGGTGAGAAATTGATTTAGAATAGGCTGAAAAGATTAAGCATTAAAGATAGTATATTAAATAGCATTGGAAGAAAAAATAAGAAAATTTTTAAAATAGAGCAAAAAAATGAAAACAAAGAAAAATGGGTAGAAGAGAGCAGGGAGTCAGAAGTTAAAATAAGTAAGGATGAAGGAGAATACAAGGGAATGAGATGGGAGAGAAGAAAAGAGGTATCAAGAAAGGATCCAGTTGACAAAATACATAAAAATTAGTTGTAATGTTGACAAAATACAAAATGTGGGGAGACACTAGGAATTTTCAAGCAGTTCATACAATATTTGTCCTATAGAAAAAGTTTTTTTTCCTCATTGAGATTTTTGAAATGGAGGTCTTTCTTTCTAGGCTTTGATTTTAGACTCTCCTAAGAGGAAGCTTCTGAGGGGCCGGTATCCTGGTGCTTATTCCCAGCTCTGACCCAGACCAGTGGAACTTGTTAGAGAAGTCTCTATGCTGATCTCTACCCTTTCCTTTCCTGTCTGCCTTTGTTGTGTCTTGTTCTAAGAGTCTCTCTGTATGGGAGCTRGGGGGAAGCTCTGTGTGTGGGATGATCTGTCTATCCCTAGTCCCTTCTGGACTTGAAGGAGGTGTTCACCACTCTCTCTCTCTCTGACCCTGATTAATCTCAGTCCCCTCCGAATTCCTGCACCCTCTCATATTAACCATGTTACTTCTCCCAGAGCTCATACCATCAGTTTCAAATTTACATGCCCTTTGTTTTTCTCTCCTCTGCATGGCTGGAGCTGTAGTGGTCCTGAGTTTTTGCCAGTCTGTGTTGTCATCTCTTCTCTATGCCCAGACTGAGTTGCAGCATAGGCGCTCACCAATCTAGTGAAAATTAGAGCCTCAGTGGCTCATTGGTCATGAGTATTCAGAAACAATTGTACCAAGGAAACAGTTGGGGGTGGGGGAGAGAAATAAAGAAAAGGGAAAAATTAGAGTTCAATATGAAATTGAAGACCAACTTCAGGGATTTTGGTTTGAAACTTGAAAAGTTCAAGCAATTCTTTTTGAATTGTTGTGGGTTCCCCCTTTTAACCATCTCCACTGGATTAGAAGAGTAGGAAGATGTGCTGGGGGCTTTACTCCATGCAAGTTCACCTATTTTTAAGCTTATTTTCTGCTCAGAATGTGACTGTGCTGGACATTGGTATCTGCTTTTCTTAAACTTGATGGGAGAAATTTTTTCATCCCTTTGGAAGGAAGTTTCCCCTCCTCCACTGAGCCACCACTCAACAGACCCTCCTGTCATGTGTTGCTTTCATTAATTCTCTTTCTCTTCTAGAAACTGATAGTTTTGGTTTTCACTTGTTTGCTATCTCTGGTGAAGACTGGCTTTTCTACTGGCATTTTCCAAGTTCCTAGATCTGTTTGCAGCTGCAGAATTTCTATTTTAATTCAGTCTTGGGGAGCTCCCAATATATTATGGGTTTGTCTGATCCACTATCTTTGAGTTTCCTCACTTTTTTCCCCATTTCAACTTATCCTGCTCACTGATCTTTTGTTTCTTCAAACAGAACAAACAAAAGCAAAAATAGTTTGGCACATGTCTTTTCCTTGARCAAGACTTTAATGGCCATTGGTGAAGTTTAAATTTCTTGGTATATGTTAAGGCACTTTTCAATTTGTGTTAGGCCAATCTATCTTGCCTTAACTCTGGTTACTCCATTTAGTCCCATAGTTTTAGCCACACTGAATATCAAGAAACCTCACCTCCTATTATTTCATTTTTCTGTAATTTTACATTTTTTTCCTCTGCTGTGAGTTGTCCTGATTTATGCTTTCTCAATTCCTGTAGGCTACTAGTGTTCCTTTCTCTGTGACTTCTCAGTCCATTATGCATGTCTTTTAATATAATGCTTATCACATTATATTGAAATGTATCTTGTATATTGGTTTGCCTTACCAGATTTGAATTCCCCTCTTCTTTGGCTGTCCTATTCTGAGCAGCTTTAACTRTCCTATTCTAAGTAGCATATTGTATCTGGCAAATAATTTCTACTCAGTAAAAATTAGGAAATGGGTTTTCACTGTTTTATTTTCTTGGGATGTATTTCTAGGAGCATAGGTTTCAGATTTTATTATCTACTTCTTCTACCTAAATAGCTTCATCATAATTATACTTTCATTACATTGATTCTAGGCCATAATGGACAGTTCCCTATATTACAGTGTTTWCAGGGTTGTTTGATTACTACTAGACTGTGAAAAATTACTAGAGTTGACTAAGTGTTTGTGAATTAGTTCATTGTGAATTAGTCAGTATGAACTAAGTTTTGCTATGTGAATTCCAAAATGTCAGTCACAAAGCATAAGGTATATTTCTTCCTTAAGCTTCATGCCTAAAACTAGTAGGCATGGCAATCCACCTGTTGGAAATGTGTCTAATCCCTTGATGGCTTGTAATGCTTCTTCCCCAAGGAACTTTTGCATCCCTCACGTTTTCAAGGACCCACCTGAGACTTATAGCCATATCTATGTTTAAAGGAGATGAGAAAGAAGAGGCCTACATGTGCCCAGAAAAGAAGGGGAATCTTTGTCAGTACTGCTAAAAACTATCACATAAAACCTTGTCCTGAGCTTAATTCAAGGTCATAGAATGGAAGCTTTCTTTTTCCCCTAAAAATCATTCAGTCCATGATCAAATTCTAGTTTATCCAAATGTTATATTAAAAATCATTATGGCCGATACATATGTATAAAGGAATTTTATTCATCCATGTAGAAAAATGAAATTATGGCAGGAAAATGAATGGAACTAGAAACCATCATGTTAAGCGAAATAGGTCAAACTCCAAAGGTAAGGTTTTCTCTCATATGTGGAAACTAGAGAGAAAAAAAGGAAAACAAAGGTGGGGGTGATCTCCTAAAAATCAAAGGGAAATCAGTGGAGGGAAGGAATAAAGGGATGGGAAGGAAGGAAGGAAGGAAGGAAGGAAGGAAGGAAGGAAGGAAGGAAGGAAGGAAGGAAGGGAGGGAGGGAGGGAGGAAGGGGGAAAGTGCTGGGGAGGGATATTAACCAAATCATACTATTATATTATGTATATGTACAGATATGTAACAACAAATCCCACCATTATGTACAACTATAATGCCCTGATAAAAAAATGTGGAAGTTCAAGGCCAACCTCAGCAACTTAGTGAGACCCTGTCATAAAATAAAAAGGGCTGTGGATATAACTGTGGATATAACTCAGTGAGAAAGCACCCCTTGGTTTAATCCCCAGTACCGAACAAACAAACAACAACAACACAACAACAACAACAAAAAAAAAGAAAAAACAAAGGTCCATGATGTCTGCAACTTATTTGTAGATGTTTAGTAATAATAATTGTGGGTGAGTGTGTGCAGAGAGAATGCCACGAATTGCTAAGAATTGGTGAATCTAAGAGAAGAATATACAGGAGTTCATCTTACCATTCTTGCAATTTTTTATAAATTTGAATTTTCTCCAAGATAAAGTAAAAAATAAAATCATAGCACACATTCACAGAGCCCCTTTTAAACATTAATATTAAGCTTTTGCCCAGAAGGAACTTTTGCATCCCTCTTGCTTTTGAGCCATTTTTGCTTTTCATTTTGAGTGTGTGGCATTCTTTTCCTCTGAGATCTGTGAAATGCCTGCCCTGTGTAAATCAATCATTGTTTCCAAAGAAAAGTGAGGCCTAAACATTAAAWCTTTATGAAAGTCTGATTTTTTTTAATTCACAAATAATGCCAGATTTCATTAAAAGACTTCTTTTCTCTCCCTTCTAGTTGGTTGAAATGTTGGATATGTCTGTCCCTGCAGTTGCTAAATTGAGACGTCTTTTAGATAGTCTTCCAAGGGAAGCTTTGCCAGACATTCTCACTTCAATTATTCGAACAAGCAACAAAGAGAAACTTCAGGTATGGGGTGTTTCCTTCTTGAATGCCAGGTTGCAATGTTGCTCTTCATTTGAATCTAGATTATGAGTAGTTAAATTTTCATCTTCAAGAAAGAGATACTGGTGACTCAAGAAAGTAGTTAAAATGCTTTTGTACTTAAATTGACTTTCAAAAGTAGTTGTTTTATATTTTTAAACAATTGCACAAAGTGTGGAAGAAGTTGATTAAAGCAAAGAATTATTTAAAAAGTAAACATTTATTATAAATATGTAAAAATGCTTTGCCACATTATTTTCTAAATATGTGGAGACTTTCTCACTGTATGGACCTGTTATATTAGAATACATCTTGATTTTTCTTATATAAATCACTCATAGGATGTATTATCTTTGATATTCAGTTACTATTTCTTTAAAATGAGTTTTGAAGATACTCGAAAAATAATCTAAGTGTAGAGTTCTAGATTTGCATGATTTAATCCTCAAGCTATAAAACTCTTTGAGTTTTCCTTGCACACTTTTTTTTATGTATTTAAAGTATTTTTACTGTATTTAGAGTATTTTTATTATATTTTAGAATATTGTTGCTAGTTTTTTTAATAGTCTGTTTTATTGAATATTCTTAGAACACTTGTTATTTTTTATTGAACACTCTTTCTTTTATTAACTTTACTTAGTACATAAATGCAACAATTATAATAGCAAGTACAACTAATAAAAACTGGTTGATGGTAGACACAGAGTGCTGGGTGGGAGCAGGAAAGTTCAGGATTACTGAGGAGTCACTTGACTGTAGGAATTAGCAAGCATGTTGTCCTGAGGGACTGGAGAGTGGCTGCTATTTCAATAGATCATTGTGTAGTTGGTTAAGAATGCCACTATTCTCTTGTGTGTAAAAATTTAATATTTTGAACCTAGAATTTTTTGAGGTCCAAAATGTAAACACATTCTTGTCTAAGAGAATAATTCCCAGAAAGAGTTGACATTGAACATGCGTTTGGTTCTTGATCTTAGAATATGGCTCCATTTTTAAATGAAAAACCAAGATTTTTTTGTTCGTATCTTTTTTTTAGGATTCTCATATTCATGTCAAATAGCCTGGCTGATTAATGTAGTTAATTTGGCTKTGTTAGTAACGGAACAGCTCTAATTACTGATAGGAATGGGTAAGGGATGTTTTTGTTTTTGGTGGGGTGAACATACTCTGGAGGTGGGCCAGACAGGCCCCATCACAAAACCCCTTAGAGAATGTAGAGAAAGAAGAGGAGGCTACAGTTGGAAGATGGTCGTGACAACCTATGAGCTCAGAGGTGCAGGCTTGGGTGGGGGAATAAGGCCAGAGACCACACAGCTGGCCATGGAGCTGACCCCAAGAAGACCCTCCCAGCCTCCTAATGTCACCCTGATAGGACCATAAGAGCACACTACCAGGTGGATTCCATTTTGTTTTGTTTTGATTTTTGCTCAGCTACCTAAGTCATAACTGACTGTCTGTATTGGAGCATGTGTTTCAGAAAAAGAAGTATTATTAARTGACTCCCATTTTCTAGATTTTAGATGCTGTTAGCCTAGAGGAGCGATTCAAGATGACCATACCAYTGCTTGTCAGGCAAATTGAAGGTCTGAAATTGCTTCAGAAAACCAGAAAACCCAAGCAAGATGATGATAAGCGGGTAAACATATCTTTTATTCTATTYTGTTTGGTTTTATGTGGAAATTTAATGTTAGCTTTTTAAAAAAAGAAAAACTTGAAAGCCAGCTGTGCATCTGTAGTCTCTGAGACAAGGAAGATCCCTTGAATCCAGGAGTTGGAGGCTGGTCTGGGCAATAGAGGAAGACCCTGTCACAAGAAACAAAAAAAGAGGGTTAGRGGACTGGGGATGTAGCTTAGTGGTAGAGTGATTACCTAACATGCACACTTGGGGAGAAGAAAGAACAATGAAGAAAAAAGCTCATTATCTCTGATGTAGACTTTGGTGTGTTTCCCTCTAGTCCTTTTATGTACCTGAATTTTTTTTTAAGCATACAAGCATTTTCTCATATTTTTTTTGTTTTTGTTTTAGTACTTATGCAAAGGGACAATTTACTKAGCCATTGACCTTTTAGTCAAACATGTGTGTTATTTCCATTGTTTTCCATATTTTAGAAGTTAGCAAATACATATGATGAGTGTCTTTTGAGTATAGTGTTTTCTTATTACGTATGGTATTAAGAACATAATACAAAAAGTGTTTGCTAAAAGAACTGTATGTTGTGCTATAATTGTGCTGACTTGTTTTTAATTTATAAAAGTTTTAATTTTCACTTAAACTATTTTGTTGTCTTCTCTATTGAGTCCTTTGTCCTCTGGTAGCTTTATAAATATCCACTCCTTTTCATTTTCTTTTTAATTAATAATTCTTTTAAATTTTTTTAACTACATGACGGCAGTAGAAAACATTATAATTCTTATTACACATATAGGGCATAATTTTTCATATCTCTGTATATAAAGTATATTCCACCAATTTATGCCTTTATACATGTACTTTGTTGTTTTTTTTTCATTACAATTCTTAATACACATATATACCACAATTTTTGTATCTAGTTTGTATATAAAGTATGTTGACACCCAATTCAAGTCTTCATACATGTACTTTTATTGGATTTTTTAAAAAGCACTTAACTCTTTAACTCATGTTAGTAATTTTGCCCTGTTAATGAAGTGAAGATAGCAGTTGTATTTCCCTCAAGTAACTTTTATTTGGCTCAACACTATCAATTAAATATTTCTTTCCTTTCCATTATCATGTATCCATTAGGTTTTTATAGTGGGTATTATTCGAAGTCTACCTTGAGCTATAGAGTTTACTATTTTTATGTCTGGGCAGAGTTAAGATGAGGAAGATATATTTGATGTGGACCAAATGTGAAAATGGCAGTTCCCTGAAAGCAGTTGGATATCCAGAACTCTGACAAGTGAAAGGTTAGAATAATGTTAGAGATTTGATGGTCACCAGCACTGTAGTGTTGCTTCTTCATCAAAGAGAATACATTGTAGAGAAGAGCAGATGTGAAGAACTCCCAAGGTGGGACTAAAGAAGCAGTAGTAGTCAGCTGAGGAGAGGTGTGAGCACCACGTGGTGTTTAGTATTTCAGGACAYCATGCTGCTCAAAGCAAATGTCAGAAATCTGAATTAGTTCTGGCTTAAGATCYTATCAGTGACTCGCTTATTCATTTTGTGCAAAAAGTCTAACACATGTAATACTCTGCAATGGATTTTTTATCAGTAAAGGTTCTTACCACTTAAAAGGCACTTAAAAAGAAAGTTGTTCCAGAAGTGTTCTAGAAAATGATCACATAGGTGATGATTACTTCAAACTGTAGGAATCAGAAGATAATATTTATAATTAGCCTAAATCATCTCCCTTTTTTATCCTTAAGAATTGAAAAATACTATTTTCTTTTTTAAATTTTTTAAAAGTTTTTATTTATATATGACACGGTAATGCATTACAATTCTTATTACACATATAGAGCACAATTTTTCATATCTCTGGTTGTATACAAAGTATATTCACACCAATTCGTGTCTCGTACCTGTACTTTGGATAATCATGATCATCACATTCCACCATCATTTATATCTTCGTGCGCCTCCTTTCCCCTTCAACCTCTCTGCCCTATCTAGAGTTCGTCTATTCCTCCCATGTTCCCTATCTCACTATGAATCAGCCTCCTTATATCAAAGAAAACATTCGGCATTTGGATTTTTGGGATTGGCTAATAACTTCACTTAGCATTATCTTCTCTAACTCCATCCATTTACCTGCAAATGCCATGAATTTATTCTCTTTTATTGCTACTAATATTCCRTTGTGTATATATGCCACATTTTTAATCCATTCATCTATTGAAGGGTATCTAGGTTGGTTCCACAGTTTAGCTATTGTGAATTGTGCTGCTATAAACATTGATGTGGCTGTGTCCCTGTAGTATGCTGTTTTTAGGTCCTTTGGGTATAGAACGAGGAGAGGGATAGCTGGGTCAAATGGTGGTTCCATTTTCAATTTTCCAAGAAATCTCCATACTGCTTTTCATATTAACTRCACCAATTTGCAGTCCCACCAGCAATGTATGAGTTTACCTTTTCCCCACATCCTCACCAACATGAAAAGTGCTATTTTCTAAGGGGAAATTGCATCAAAAAGTGCTTTTGTCTCAACAATGAAATCACTAATGTATTTTTTAAAAATCTCACTTAAAAATTTTACTTATTTTTTGTAATTTAAAATATTTTATTAACAAAATATTAATTTTATTTGTTAATGAGTTATATGAGAATAAAAGTATATATTTAATATATTTTTATAAAATTACATTTTATTTACTACTATATTTTTAAAATTTTTAATATTTGAATGTATGAAATAGATAATTTCACAGGTAAAAATTTTAATTTTGGAGRATTTTAAATTAAATACCAGTATATCATTTTGTTCTAGTAATGGTTGGAGTTGATTCATAATATTAATGAATTGAGAATTTTAAAAAAAAAACCGAAAGTACTTTTAAAATATGGTAGAAAGATCATGAAGAGAACATAAACAATGAACATTTGACTTGGCCTGGGACATGATTATTAGAAGATTATTGAAAGAACATGATTATTGAAAGAACAGTTTCAGCACCACAGGACAGAAGCCAAAGGTTTACTGATGACCTGTAATTGGTGAGAAAGGGGACATGGTAGTTATAGCCACTTGTTGGAGATGTAGAACATCACAGGAAAGGAAGTATATAGTGTGATGGTTAACTGGAAGGGGCCCATCAGTGAGCTACATTATTTTGAAAGGAGGAAGATTTTTCTGTGTTGAAGACAGTGATAATAGAGCCAGGGGTGGAAAGGTTAAAGATTACAGATTTTGTAATGTAAGAGGAGGAAAAATGGAATTTATTCAGCCACCAAATGTAAGTAATAATGAACACGAAGAAAATAGTAGCTACAATAGTAGCTCAAGGAAAGGTGATTCATAGGTGTTTTAAGTATTTCAAGTAGGCAGTTCCAAAAGAATCACATCTACTTTATTTTAGTTTACTTTTAAAATTCTGCTACATCTGCCTCTTAATTGTTCAGAAATTTAGTTCCTCAAGATATAGGCTGTGGCCATAAATGTGTTTATTCAGTATAAATCCTATACTTACCTTTAGCTGTGTACTTCATTTCTAAATTATTTTGACATACAGTTTTCTTCTACTGCCTACTTAGGTTATAGCAATACGCCCTATTAGAAGACTCACACACATCCCAGGTACTTTAGAAGATGAGGACGAGGATGAAGATAATGATGATATTGTCATGTTAGAGAAAAAAATACGAACATCCAGTATGCCAGAGCAGGCCCATAAAGTCTGTGTCAAAGAGATAAAAAGGTAAATTATTGAAGGCATTAATTCACTAGTATTTTCTTTTTGTTTATTATGTAAAAGTAACAATTTTGAAACTTGATTCTGCTGCTTTGGATCACAAGCTGAAATCTGAATCACTTGTTTTATATTCTCTGCTCTTTCTCTTTTTCTTATTCTTAATATACTCATAGATCACCCTATTCATTTTATCTTTCCATTGCCAACTTTTATCTTTCATGACTTTCCTAATTCGTGGCTTATGCCTTTGTTCTTTGGAAGACTTCCCCTCTTTCATCATTCCTCAGCAGAATATAATTCTTAAAACATTCTTAATACTCGTGAATTAACACCACTTTCATTAATATTTTTATCATACCAAAAAGTGATAGACATCTTTCATTTCTACTTTGCTGTCAGACATTGTAACTATTGTAGCTGCCTTTTCCTTGTCTAAAATAAAGGACCATACTTCTTTGTTCAGATGCAGTATTTGTTCAATTATCATTGTATTCTTACTTGTCACTGTTTCTTCTTAGATTGTAATCTTCAGAAAGTAGAAACTGTCAGTTTCTCTTTATGCAACACAAAGTACAGGGAAACCTTGATGACAAAATAGATTACATATATATTTATTTATATTTATTTTTTAGTTGTAGTTGGACACAATACCTTTGTTTTATTTATTTATTTTTATGTGCTACTGAGGATCGAACCCAGGGCCTCACACATGCAATGTGAGTACACTACTGTTGAGCCACAACCCATCCCCATGGTGGGTTATATTTTATGGATAACCTCAGAGTTAAATAGAACACCATTTTTTTCTTTTATATTATGAAACAAAATAAAATTTATATTAACATTAAAAACWTTTTTAGACTTGTTTAAATATTCATGATACATCTCACCTAGGATGGGAGTCATGTTGATTTCTCTGTATTGGTATTATTTTATATTCTTTAATATTAAATATGTTTTATATGTATTCTTTCCCCATAGACTCAAAAAAATGCCTCAATCAATGCCAGAATATGCTCTGACTAGAAATTATTTGGAACTTATGGTAGAACTTCCTTGGAACAAAAGTACAACTGGTGAGCCAACAAAATAACACCTTGTTTACATCCTAATCATCACTCAGCTCATGTAAATTCTCACTTCAAATGTTGCCCATTGACTGTCTTACTAATAAATTAGTTACTTTTCATTTTTGAAACTATTTTATTGAGTTATGATTGACATGTAAAAGCTGGTATTTACATCCTGATGAGTTTTAGGATGAGACTAATCCATGAAATCATCACTATCATCAAAGCCATAAATATATCTATCCTACTCAAAGTTTCCTCCTTCTCATTATGTTGTTATAATTGACATTTCTTTCTGTCTATATGTGGTGGTGGTGGGTGATGTTAAAACCATGGAGCATAAAATCCACCTTTTTAGCAATTTTTTTAAGAGAGAGAGAGAGAGAATTTTTTAATATTTATTTTTCAGTTTTCGACAGACACAACATCTTTATTTTATTTTTATGTGGTGCTGAGGATGGAACCCATCRCCCCACGCATGCCAAGCGAGCTCGTTACCACTTGAGCCACATCCCCAGCCCCTTTTTAGCAAATTTTAAGAATACAAAATAGTATTGTTAGCTACATGCCCTAGGCTGTATAGCATGTCTCCAGAACCTATCTTGTATTATTGAGACTTTCTACCCTTTAACCATCACTTCACCATTCCTCTGAACTTAATCCCTGGCAGTTACTGCTGCTGCTCTTAGCTTCTATGAATTTGATTGTTTTAAATTTCACATATAAGGGAAATTATACAGTATTTGTCTTTCTGTGTCTGGCTTATTTCATTTATCATAATCCCTTGTAGATTTATCCATGATGTCAAAAGTGACAGAATTTCCTTATATTTTAAGGCTGTATACTATATTGTATGTATATACCACTTTTTTAAATTCATGAATCTTTCAGTAGATGTTGAGGTGATTTTCACATCTTGACTATTGTGAATAATCACATTACAGTGACTATGGCAGTGAAGCTATCTCTTCCAGATTCTGCTTTCAATTCCTTTGGATATATACACAGAAGTAGGACTTCTAGATCATATGGTAATTCTATTTTTGATCTTTTGAGGAACCTCTACACTGTTTTCATAATGGCTATACTAATTTACATTCCTACTAACAGTGTAGAATTCTCTTTTCTCCATATGCTTGTCACCACTTGTTAGAATTTTTTTATAGTTTTTTTTTAATAGCCATTCTAGTAGGCATGAAGGAATAGCTTGTGGCTTTTTGTTTGGTTTTGGGGGGCTGAAGATCAAACCCAAGGCCTTATTCTATGCAAGTGCTCTCCCACTGAGCTACTTCCCAGCCCTTTGTGGTTTTGATTTTCATTTTCTTGATGATGAGTGATGTTGAGCACCTTTTCATTTATTTCTTGGGCATCTGTATGTCTTCTTTAGAGAAAGATCTGTTGAGGTCCTTTGCCCATTTTCACTCAGGTTATTTGGTTTTTGCTGTTGATTTGTGTGGTTCATTGTATATTTTAGATATTAATCTCTTATCAGATAAATGGTTTGCAAATATTTTCTTCTATTCTATGTATAGCCTTCTCATTTTATTGATTGTTTCCTTTGTTTAAAGAAGCTTTTTAGTTTGATGTAATGTCACTCATTTATTTTTTGCTCTTGTTGCCTTACTTTTGATGTCACATCCCAAAATATTACCAAGACCAATATCAAGGAGCTTTTTCCATGGTTTTATCTAGGAATCTTATGATTTCGGGTCTTATGTTTAAGTCTTTCATCCATTTTGAGTTGATTTTTGTGAGTGATGTAATATCAAAGTCTAATTTCATTCTTCTGCATGTGATATCCAGTTTTTCCAACAGCATTTATTTGAAGAGACTGTCCTTGCCCTATTGTGCACTCTTGGCATCTTTATTGAAAATTAGCTGATCATATGTGTATATTTATTTCTGGGCTATTCTTTTCTGTTCTGTATGTCTGTTTTATGCCAGAACCATGTTTTTTTTTTTTATTACTGTAGATTGTAATATAACTTGACATCCAGGTAGTATGATTCCTCCAGCTTTGTTTTTCTTGCTCAAGATTGCTTTGGCCATTGGGATCTTTTGTAATTACATGTGAATTTTAGGATTTTTGTGTGTGTGTGTGTGTGTGTGAAAAATGGCATCAGAATTTTGATAGACATTATCAAAAGGATTTGTAGATTCCCTTGGGAAATATGGACATTTTATCAATATTCTTCTAGTCTATGAACATGGTCTTATCTCTCCATTTACTTGTGTTTAATTTCTTTCACCAGTATTTTATAGTTGTAAGTTGCATTTTGTCAATGGTTCTTATGCATCTATTGAGATGATGATATGATTTTTATCCTTTATTCTGTTAACTTATTATGTCACGTTTATTGATTTGTGTGTGTTGAATAGTTCTTGCAATATCAGTGATAAATTTCATATCATGATGTATGACTCTTAATGTGCTGCTGCATTTGATTTGCTTGTATTTTGTTGAAAATGTTTGCATCCATGTTTATCTTTTTTTATCTTAATTTTCTTTTCGTGTCTTTGTGTGGCTTTGGTTTAGGGGTAATTTTAGACTCATAGAATATATTTGGAGTATTCCTTTCTCTTCAGTTTTTTAAAGAATTTGAGAAGGATTTGTGTTAATTGTTCTTTAAATGTTTGGCAAAATTCACCAAAAACATTTGGTCCTGGGCTTTTCTTTTTTGGGAGGATTTTGATTACCAGTTCTCTCTCTGTTTTTGGATTTCTGTTTCTTGATTCAGTCTTGGAAGGTTGCATGTATCTAGGAATTAATTCTAAGTTATTCAATTTGCTGATGTACCGTTGTTCGGTAGTAGTCTCTAATGATCATTTGTTTCTTTTTTTTTTTCGGGGGCRTGTACTGGGGATTGAACTCAGGGGCACTCAACCACTGAGCCACATTCCCAACCCTATTTTATTTAGAGTCAGAGTCTCACTAAGTTGCTTAGGGCCTCACTGTTGCTGAGGCTGGCTTTGAACTTGCAATTCTCCTGCCTCAGCCTCCTGAACCACTGGGATTACAGGTTTGTGCCACCGCTCCTGGTAGTTCCCTGGATTTTGAAGAAAAACCCAGAAGTTTGGTATATCCTGTCATTATAAAACACATTTTTGGCTCTCTGCCTGGAACCCAGCATTCCTGAGAGTCTTGCCATCACAGAACCCAATTTCCCTGGCCTTCCACATAGACCTCAATTCTGACTACAATCAATAGTATAACTAAAAATTACATATATTACTGCTTAGCCAGGTTTTTATGGACTATCTTGGGAACCAAACTACACTTAAGGCCATTTTTTTCCATAAAGAAAAGTATACAAAAAATTCCAAATAGCTAATTGAAAGAGTAGGTTTGTAYGTTTCTTTTCTCCACTCTTCTTCTTTCACTGTCAGTATGAATATGTCACTGTATAATAATATGCACTAACAACCACCTGACTGGTGAATTTATTTTGGMTTCCATGGCCTGGTGTTTAATTTATGAGTGTTTTATTTGCTAAAAGCATGTTAGTAAACCTGATGAAAGCTTTACTCTGGAAACAAAGCCTAATTCAAATGCTTCTTATAATACTTTAATGAATACAGTTTTTCTGGATGGCAATTAGGGGATTCTTTACAATGATTTTTTTTAACCTAGCACTTCCATTTATAGAAGATTAGCTGAAGGAAATAATTATAKCTATATATAAAGATTAGTTACAAGAACGCACAGTGTTTTCTTTATGACCAAGGATTTGTAAATAACCTAGATGCTCAGCATAGAGAATTAGTTAAATGAATATGGATAATTATTTAATGCAATATTAAGTAGTCATAACATATTAGAAAAATACATGTGACTGAAAGTGGCTGTAGAAGAGTAAATGAAAAAAATTATAGAAAGCGTTATACATTCCCATTTTGAGAAATAGGTATGTAAGTACACATTCACACAGCCTAGAATAACATACCAAAAAGAAAGTAATGATGATCTTTGGGGGATATGAGATTATGGGTTACTGTTTTCTTCTTTTATTGATTTCTTCAGATTTTCTGGGATGGACACATTTGTTCCCATCAAAGGAACAAATGCCAGCATGAATAGAGTATGTGCAAATTATGTCTGCATGAAAATAGTGTGTATCTAGAAAATCATTCCAAATAAAGTGAGCATAGTGGTTTATTTGTTCTTTTTAGCTCTATATGAAAGTAGAGTGTATTTTGACATATTGTAAATACATGCAGTATACCTTATTCTAAGTAGGATTCCATTCTTGTGGTTGTACATGATGTTGAGTTATACTTGTCATGTATTCATAAAGAACATAGAAAAGTACATCCAGTTCATTCTACTGTCTTTTCTATTCCTATTCTTCCTCCCTTCCCTTTATATCCCTTTGTCTAATCCAATGAATTTATATYCCCCCCCCATCTTATTGTGTTAGCATCCACATATCAGAGTATTCGACCTTTGGTTTTTGGCGACTGGCTTATTCACTTAGCATGATAGTCTCCATTTCCATTCATTTGCTAGCAAATGCCATAATTTTATTCTTCTTTATGGCTGAGTAATATGCCATTGTGTATATATGCCACATTTTCTTTATCCACTCATTTGTTGAAGAGCACCTAGGTTGGTTCCATAAATTTWGCTATTGTGAATTGAGCTGCTATAAACATTGATCTGGCTGTGTCACTGTAGTAAGTACCCACTATCTCTGGAGACACCAAATCTTAAGCAGAAAAACTAAACCAAGTGTAGGATCCAAGTTTGTTCTTACCATATCTTTTTTTCCAAAAAAAAAAAAAAAAAAAWTGGCTCTTGCCAAGCTTGAAAAAGTTTGACCTGTTCAAATTATTTCTTTGGGGTTTTTTGACAGACCGTCTGGACATTCGGGCAGCCCGAATTCTTCTGGATAATGACCACTATGCCATGGAAAAATTGAAGAAAAGAGTTCTGGAATACTTGGCTGTCAGGCAGCTGAAAAACAACCTGAAGGGCCCTATTCTGTGCTTTGTTGGCCCTCCTGGAGTTGGTAAAACAAGTGTGGGAAGATCAGTGGCCAAGACTTTAGGTCGAGAGTTCCACAGGATTGCGCTTGGAGGAGTATGTGATCAGTCTGACATTCGAGGACACAGGTAAAATGTATCTCCCAGCCTAATCTCCAATTCTAGTTCTCATTTTGTTGACTAGAGCCTCTAAAACACTGAGGCACAATATTATGTCTCTCTTTCTTCAGGGACTATTTGTAGTATCTTGAATGGAAAGGACATTTACAAGACTTATATGCTAGCCTAGAGCCTCTCATCATAATGGAATACCTAAATTAACCTTGATATTTGTATGACAAGTGGGTAGCTATTGTATGCCTCAGCTTTTCTGAAATCTCATTTAAATGTGATTATAAATTACTTTATGATTGGATATTATAATGTCTTTGCATTCATTTTGGCCCAGTTATATTACATAAATAATAACCCATAAATATTTAGAGTTTAGAAAAACAACTGTAATAGTTAGGGCAGATATGGGTAGCAAATTTCTTCTGCTTGCAGTTTAACCTCCTTTATGAAAGCTGATTTGTATTATAARTACCAATAATAAAGAAAGATTAGCATAATTATTAAGGCTTATCCTTGTATGTGTGTATATATGTATATCTTAAATGTAGAACATTAAAAATATAGAAGCCATGAACTGCTTATAAAAAAAAAAATGATGCTTTTTTTCGCGGGGAGAGTACCAGGAATTGAACTCAGGGGCAACTTGACCACTGAGCCACATTCCCAGCCCTGTTTTGTATTTTATTTAGAGACAAGGTCTCACTGAGTTGCTTAGCACCTCAGTTTTGCTGAGGCTGGCTTTGAACTTGCCATCCTCCTGCTTCAGCCYTCTGAGCTGCTGGGGTTACAGAGATGCACCACCGCACCCAGCTAATGTGATACATTTTTTAAAAAATATGTTTTCAAGTTGTTGATGATGAGCGTTTATTTTTATTTATTTATATGCAGTGCTGAGAATTGAACCAAGTGCCTCACACATGAAAGGCAACAGCTCTATCACTGAGCTACAACACCAGCCTTAACATCTTATTTTCCAATTCCCTGTTCACAGGTTATCTCTGACCTTAGGTGGGAATGGGAAACTGTTTCAAAAACTTTTCTCTGAGAAATGTTACTTTAATATTCTCTTATTTGTTCACTTACAATCAAAGAAGAACCAATCCAAGACTTTAATGAATAAGCAATGAGGGGGAACATCAGAGCAGAGAATTGATTTGGGTCATTGATTGGGTTATAATGACTTGACTAAACATTGTCCCATTGTGTTTCTTTGTATTATTCTGAATAACTTAAAGGAAGTTTCTTTCTGGAAACGTCAAAAGATATTTTTGTTGCCTAGACTTTCTTATTCTCACTTGTGCCACTAGAGGCTGTAGTTTGCTTTCATAACAAAATTGGCATCTCTTGGACCAAAGCTGGATCTAGGGCCACAATCTTTAACTATAGAGCTTTCAGGAGGTATTCCTGATTTAAGTGACTTGATTTATACCTTACATTGTTTTAGTTATTTTTTTCTTATCTGTAGCTTAGTTTTGTGTATGTATTTGATGAGATTTAGAGAATCAGTTTGTGGCATTAATGTTATGAGGAAGTGGTATAATAAGCATTTGACATGTAGGTAATTTGTTATTTCTTTCTATAATTGTATTGATTATTCTGAAGGGTTTAAAGGCACCCWGTATATGACATACAGTAAGCATCACTAAAAATTAGCCTCATTATTGTTTTAATTCTAAATTCATAGGGAATAAGTCTGGATTTATATAGTTTGGTATGATTTTTGATAAGCCTTAAGCTGATTTTTAAGTTGCATTCTAAAATATTTATTCTATTTTCAGCATTACTATTTAATTTATGTGACAGAATTGTGAAAATGTATTTGTCTATTACCTGGTGGTAGAGAATGTATACTGTCATGCGTCTCATCACTTCTTAAGAATAGAAATTGTTGGATTTAAACAGATCTCCTTTTAAACTCTTTACTGACATATTAAGTGTGTTCATTTTTTCAAGTAAGTATATTTTTGTGTGTGTAATACTAAATCTAAGGAAAATAAGAATTTACTTTTTAAGTCTTTTTAAGGAACTTGTGTTATGATCACCACTGCTTAAAATATTTGTAAATATAAACTGTTTAGAAATGTATGGCTTGCATAGAGATCATGATTATTGCCAAATCATTCCATTGAACCTGATATTAGATTAACCTTCTTGGAAACTATTCCTTAACTATCCCTGTTCAGATGTTTCATTAAACACTATACAGCCTGTCCTTGTGCTATTAAAAATGATCACTCACCTCTCTGCTAAATTATTAAAGCCTGGTGAAAAAATTTTATTTGAAAATSTATTTGAAGGTGCATGGAGAGTAGTGTGTGGTTGTTGAGGAATGAACAGGGTGAGGGAAGAGTATGCATTCATGTCAGAGTAATGAATTGAAGGTGACTAGGAGCAGGGGAGAAAGAACAGTGGAGGATTATAGCACAGCCATGGGTGGCGTCTGTGGGAACATGTAGTTCCATGTGACAGTTGAGGCATTTTGGAAACACCCAGGTCTTGGCATTTGAGTACTGGTCACATGCTCACAATTAGAGTTCATGAAAAGTTTTGTTTTTCCTTAGCCTCTGAGTAGGCACCACTGTTCTGCAGTCTTAAAATAGCCAAGGAGAAACAGAGCTGCTTTATGTCATCTTCCTTGCTTATTCTCCTGATTTTATCACTCACTGTCCTTATTTTCCCACGCATGAAACACCAGCCATTTGCTAGAAGTACCTGTTTATGTAAAGGAAGGTTCTAGTAGGGAATGGATGTTAAAAACAATGGAAGATATATATTTAAGTGATAATAAGGTGGAAGAAGGGGAAAAAAGGAAAGGCTTCATTTACATTTAAATATTAAACTGGAAAAATAATAATGACCTGACTAAACATTGGCCCATTGTGTTTCTTTGTATTATTCTGAATAACTTAAAAAGGAAAAATAGGCTAATGCTTAGTTCCATATTAACCCATACAGTTTTTCAGTCTTCTCAACATCTCACATTTGGTTTTATCTTCATTGGATTTTTTCTGTCTGCTTTTTAATGTTCCCATCTATCAGATTTTTAAATGAAGTTTTTATATTTAAATATTCCATTTAAATAATTTAAACCAGTTCACAGAAATTCAATATAAAATAACTTTTTTAAGTTGAAATTTGATGAMATTTGTTTTCATTCTTTGTTCTTTGGTTAAAAAAGATACTATTGCTATGATATGTCTCAATCCCTGTTTCTATTAACTCTTTGGAGGAAATTTACCAGCTGTTTGTTTAGGTAATGAAAGTATATTATTGTAGGGAATCATTGACTTAATTTTTAAATATGATGAGAAGAAAAACAGTCTTGTGATTTCCTTGTTGATAAATTTTCATATGCAACCCAAAATGGTGAAGTTATAAGTTAACAGTTTCATTATTAGACTCTAAAAGGGAAAAAATAACTTTAGTAGTATATGTTTAACATTTTTTTAATATAGTATAACAGACATATAATGATTTACTTACTATTCTCCTTACAACCAAGTATTTGCATATAACTCTTTTTTGCTTCTCTAAAACAAGTTTATTTTAAGGCCCCAATCCACATTTCCTCCATTAATTAAAATGAGTAATGATCTTTATTTTTTCTAAATTAGCCATGTATTGTCTATTTTGCACCTTTGATGATTAAACAATATAGACCTCTGACATTTCTAACATACATCTGTGGAGATAAAAACATAAATCCAGTGAGCATCTGGAATCTGRAAACCTTTCAGCTGCTCCAATATCCAAACCTTTTTGAGTACTGATATGATGCCCCTAGTGGAAAATTCCACACCTGACATCATGTGATGGGTCTAAATCAAAATGCAGGTGCACTAAAAGTATTATACAAAATTTGCCAGGTGCAGTGGTGCATACCTATAATCCCAGCCACTTAGTGGGCAAAAACAGTAGGATCACAAGTTTGAGGCCAACCTGGGGACTTAGCTCAGTGATAGAGTGCTCTTGGGTTAAACCCCCAGTAATGAGTAAGGGAGGATTTTATATAKAGTGTGTGTGTGTGTATAATTATCATTAGGCTATGAAAAAGTACTTGTGAAACATAAATTAATTTCATGTTTGAATTTGGGTCTTATTCCCTAGATATCTTGTTATATATATGCAAGTAGTCCAAAATCCAAAAAGATTCAAAATCTGAAACACTTCAGATAAGGGATACTGAGCCTATATATAAAAAGTTTAACCTCTGTATGGCAGAGCGCTCTCTCGCTCGCGAGTGCTTTCTCTCTCTCTCTCTCTACGCGCGCGCACACACACACACACACACACACACACACAATCCCCTAAAATAAAAAAAATCTATTTATATGTGTATGTGAGTATATATGTGTGTGTGTATGTGTGTATGTGTGTATGTGTGTGTGTGTGTGTGTGTGTGTATATATATATATATATATATGAATACATATATATATTTTGGATTATGTTAGATTTGGAAATATTTAAGTATGATCAGACTAAGATAATTGATTACCATAAGGCAGTAAAATAGATGATATTTTAATTTTCCATAGTTGTTTTTTGAAGCATAAACCAAACTATCTTTTGGAAAATAAAAAATGCTGATCTTATAATTAATATTTTTGAACTATTTAGAAAGTTTGGTTTTGTGTATCTTATATGCTAGTTGAATAGTCATGATAAATCTATTAAGCCTGAGGAAATAATAAGAAAAATATGAATTTATGTATTTTTCTTTTGAAAAAAATAATAATTTTGCTTTTATGTTTATATATTTAAATGCATTTAAATTTTTAAGCATTTTTCATTCTATTTTAACTGGTATATAAAAACATACAAATTGCCTATATTAAYGGGATACCATTGTAATGTTCTAACAGAATGTGTATATTTTTAAATGAATGTTTTTACTTCAACTGGAGGAAGAATTTCTAGGTAATCATATTCAGGTTTAAAAATAAGTCATTGAAGTGATATACTTTGTATAAACTTTATTATGCTATGTTGCTTTTTTATTTGCTATATTTTGAGAAATAAAATATAGAAAAKACTAATATTTGCCCTTTTTCTGTTGATTGTACAATTTTATTTTTTAAAATACATGACAGCAGAATGTATTACAATTCTTATTACACATATAGAGCACAAATTTTCAGATGTTTGTATAAAGTATGTTCACGCCTAATATTTGCCCTTTAAAAAGTCATAGTTTGTAAAAGATTACCACTTTTATTTATTTCCTACTTATGTAGTTTCTCAGGAGGATATTTTGGTATGTTAATTAGGTAAGAAATGGTTGCAGTTGTTTGGTGATATTGAAAGAGAACATTTTCATTTTGTGTATTGCAACATTTTGCACCATCTGATTTCATACTCTATGGATTTATTCAAAATATATAATCTTTTCAGTCAATGAATTGCATTCTTCCATAACTTCTGATAAAACCTAATAGAAAAACATGTTAAAACAAATTCAATGTAGGTAAGACATTATCTACTACATTTCTAGAGCAGTTTCTGAAAAACTAGAAGTTTTTCTTTTAATAAATAAGTATTAAATCTTTTCATTAAATAATTAGTTATCTAGCTAGTTAACACTAGATCAGTAATTTTTATTTCTTCTGATTTTAGGAAAAAATATCCTTTCAGGAGAGACTTAAATCATTAAATAATCAATCCAACTTACCACCTTTTTAGAATCAAAATATTAATAAAAGATGGCACATTCATGTATTTCTTAGCTTGGGTATTCTTTACTTCAATATGAAGTCACAATAGACATTCTTAATAGCTTATGGACTCAGTGGTAATGACTGTCTTTGTGCTTTGACCTCTATGCTAGTGGTGCGTATTTGGGAGATGTCACCTGTGACTGAGGAACATTAAGGACATTGAGTACACTTGGTGCTATAAAAATACATTTGTAATAGTTACTTTCATAAAGCAGAAGTTTTCATGGGACTCAGATTCAGATGTACTGATTTCTGCTTTTTTATTTTTTCCAAGAAACCAAAATTAGTCTTTTAAGTAGCTGGAAAAATAAGAATTAACATTGAAATTAACAATTAATAATTAACATTGGTGTTTATTATGTGTTTTATGTTTGTTTTCTCATAAAGCCTATGAAATTGGCACTGTTGTTTCAATTTTATAGATAAGGAAACTGAGACTTTGGTCAAGTAATTTATCCAAAGTAGCATTCAAACGATTTGTTTTGTTTTGTTTTGTTTTTAATTTAAAGACAGGGCCTTGCTGAGTTGCTGAGGCTAGCTTTAAACTCTTGATCCTCCTGCCTCAACCTCCCAAACCTCTGGGATTGATTACAGGCATATGCCACCACACTTGGCAGCACTCAAATGCTTTTATCACCTTATCTACCTACCAATCTATCTACCAATGGTGGTAGAAAGATGCTTTTGGTTGATTGCATAATGGATCTCGTGGAGAACAACGTTATAGCCCTCTGTCCAGCATCTACTCGATAATAATACCCTATTGCTGTCATCAAGTGTCCACTTGATGTCCTCTTTAGAAGAGGTTATAATTCTCATGAGTAAAAACTAGGTCATTAGGTAGGTAAGCATCAGAAGAATTGTAGGGTCAGTAAAAGCTATAGGTATTTATTAGGTCACTTTGTGAGAGGTGGTCAGAAAGCTTTCTTAGAATTGTGATTTAGGCAGGGAGAGTAAGAGAGTGTTTTAGTCAGATTTTTGTAACTATAATGAAATACCTGAGGCAAGCTACTAACAAAGAAAAGAGAGTTTTTAGCTCTCAGTTTTGGAGTCTAAAAAGGCCAAACCGCATGGTAAGACCCTTTTGAGGATTCCTCCTGTTTGCTATACCTCATGGTGGATTACAATGGTAAGAACACTTGTGGGAGCAAGGAATTATGTTGCAAACAGGAAGCAGGGAGTGTTATAACAACTTTTACAAGAACTAACTCAGAGTTCCATAAGAGATATCTTACCCGCTTTCAAGGACATACCCCACTCCCAATGTCTTCCTACTAGGCACCACCTTCTAAATACCACCAACCTGAGACCAAGTAGACCTTCTTGAATACTCAGACCATTCCATATCGTAGCAGACAGGAAAACACCGTATTAACAAAGGTAGAAAACTCTGAGGGGTATAATAGAGTCTTGATTGTGAATGAAACAAGAGAGTAACAGAAGCAAGTTGGGAAAACCTGGTAGGAGCTAGATTGCAAAGAGCCCTTGAATTCTAGACAAAGGTGTTTGAACCTTGTTCTGTAGGATCTGGGAAGCAGTGGGAAGTTCAGGAGAAATTGCTTGTTTATAGTTCTAATATCTAGATTTCCACTTCTCTAAAAAGGGTTTTTAAAATATATTTTCTCTCCATGACCTTAGGTTTAGACTGGTGAGGCTACCTAGCAAAAGGAAAAGTAATTAATGCAACAAAATATGGCTCACAGAGGCTTTGAGATTTAAAAGAAAATGTCTCTTTTTTACCACTCTTAAAATGAGTAATAGCAAATGTGTAAGTTCTCTAGAGTTATAATTTGAAAGAGTTTATTATTTTCATATCTTGTCTTTCCTGTTTCCTGTTCTGAATTTTTTGTTTGTTGGTTTTTGTTTTTGTTTAATGGTGCTGGGACTTGAATCCAGGGCATTGCACATGCTAGGCAAGTGTGTTACCACTGACTTAACCCCCAGCCCCATCCTGAAATCTTGAATATGCTAATTTCTTATTATAAAAGGTCGAACAGGACAATGTTTATTGTATCTGGTTCCAGTGCCTTAGTCACCTGCTCTGGATGAAAGGCATTCCCACGGCATTTTTAAGGCTTTCTTGTCATTTCAAAGGTCACTCTATTTATTCTGTCCTACTTTATACCAGTCATGTGGCAGAATTGAGGCTTGCTCTGTGAATCGGCTTTGTGTGGATCATGAGATAACTGCTGCTGTTCCATTTATCATTGATCATTTTCTTCTAGGCAGTCAGCATTTTATGCCTTTTCAGAAACAGCATTTGCTTTGCACCTGACTTAGACAGTAAGGGTGTAATTAAAAATTAATAAATTTCTGCTTCAAATAAAGTTTCACCAGCTTTGTAACCTTAGGGACACTTTCTTTTAGTAAATATATTTGTTTTTATTTCATACCACACTCTACATCTGTCATAATTATGTAGATTGTCCTTATTCAAGTATGATAAAACAGCTTCTAAAATTTTAATGCTCAACAAAATATCTGGCAGGATTTTGTTATGCCACCTAATACATGTGATGTATATAGTTCAGAAATTTAAAAAATGGAATTTTGACATAAATACTGTTGATCTCAGACTCTCTTACTACAACTAACAACAGATTGTTACTTTTCAAAGGTAATTATTATCTTTGAAAGTTTGGAGTTTTTCTAATTTGTTTGTTGTTCATTATTTATTATGGCGGAGGGGGTCCACCTTCTGAGTGGCCCTTTGAGCCCATTTTTAGTCTCCTTCACGAAGATGATGTTTTAGCCAGTCCTAGGGCAGCTCTTTCAGTATGTAAAATGGTTGTTATATTGGAGCAAAAGGGTGCTCTGGAAAACCATGAGAATTTTAGGAACTAAAACTAAATTCCCAGGGACACTGGACATTTTGGAATCACAGACGAACAGCCAAAACTGTGTGGATTAAGTGTGGTGTTTTTCCTTTTTTACTAAATGCAAAAACAAGATACAGTTCTTCTAATATCATGGTCAGCTTGTAGCCAGAATTAAGTAGAAAGTAAGAATTGAATCTAATGATTTTTGATGTACCATAATACATCAAAAAAAGAGAGCTCTTAGAAAATAAAAATTGAATCTAATAATTTTTGATGAACCATAATACATTAAAAAAAAGAGAGCTCTTTGGTATGCTGTGGTAAAGCTGAATTACTTCTTTACAGGCCTCAAGTTTGATTTCTAAGTGATATTGTTCTTTCCTCCTCATCTCATGGTTGTAAATTTGCTGCCTTCTTTCTCTAGGCGAACCTATGTTGGCAGTATGCCTGGTCGTATAATCAATGGCTTGAAGACTGTTGGAGTTAATAATCCCGTGTTCCTATTAGATGAGGTTGACAAACTGGGGAAAAGTCTGCAGGGTGACCCTGCAGCAGCTTTGCTTGAGGTAAGTTTTAGAAAATTCCCTATTTATAATCACACTTAGAGCGTGAATGAGAGTAGATCATATCTGCGTAATATCCACATTGGTGTGTGATCAGTTATGGGAACGGTTTGATATAGCCTAAAATTCAAAGCAATTTGACAGCTAAATAAAAATGTCTTGGATATTTCTTTCTTTTCATTCTGGTAAGTCTTTTCATTTCTTTTTTCTTTTTTTTTTTTTGTATTAACTAGCTTACCAAAATTTTCTACAGAGATCAGTAATTCTATAAGGTTATGACCAAAAGCATCAAAGGAGTCTTCTTCCTGGGTCCTCCATTTCCTATTCTGCACTTCTTTAACATTTTATGGATCAGTTCCATTTTTTCAAATAGTTTGTATATATTGCTATGTTTTGAYTTTTCAACTTTTGGCATTATTTGTAGTCTCCCTCTGTAGAAGTTGAAGATTTTTGCCTTTTTTCTTCTCTTTTACCCCTAATGTATCATTTTRTACTCCAAATCTTTCATTATAGAATTTATCTTTTTTATTGTCACTATTAAGTATTTACATTTATATTATCATGTAAATATTTTTCACAATTGATCATTTTTCCTTTCCTGTTCCCTTTTTTGTTTTTCTGTACATGTTGTTGAAGATCTACTTGACTTGTTTCTTCTGTTTACTTTTTCTAGTTGTCTTGTTCTTCTTTTAGGACATTCAGACATTTTAGGTTCTCTATCAATTTTATCTTCGTAAAGCTTCCAATCTGAATGGGTTGTTTCCTTCATCTGGTGCTATCTTCGTAGGATCTTTCTCCACTTCCCGCCATGTTTGATTTCCTGTATCCTATATTCTTTGTCTCTTTCCTGGTTTATTCCCTCTTTTGTTTTGTTTTGTTTTGTTTTGTTTTGTTTTGTTTAATGTTGATAACTTCCTATAAAGTTTACGTGGGTAAATATTTGTAGATTTTTTCATTCCAAAATATTTTTGTGTCTCTCATATTTGATTGGTAGTTTGAGTTTGGAATTTGAGTTGGAAACAATTTCTCTGCAGAATTTTACTTTGCCTTCATTGTTTTCTGGCTACTGGTATTGCTGTTGATAAAACTGAATCATGTTCTGATCCTTTTTTTACTCTTTGAAAAACTTTTTGGACCTTCCTTTTGTCTGTGTGCTGAAATTTTGCAGTAATCTAGGATGCCTTGATATGAGTCTCTTTTTATCCATTTTTGTTGATGTTTTAAAGAGTCCTTGAATTCTTAATCTTTATTTCTGGAAAATCTTCTCAAATTCTTTAGTTGATGACTTTTTTCCCCTCACATTGTTTTGGAACTCCTATTACTTAGATATTAGATCTTTAATTGTGTTATCTTTTCTCTTTTATTTTTTGCTTATTTTTTTCTACTTTCTGTGCAGACTTCCTCAGCTTCATCTTTAAAAACCCTCTATGTGTTTTTCAGAAACTTCTGTTTTTACTTCTCTGCATATTACTTTATAGTACCCTGCTCTCCATTCAGTAGTTGTAACATATCCTTTAACCTCTGTGAGAAAGACACTGATAGATTTTTTGCTTTTTAAATATCCCTTTACTTTAAGCTGCTTTTATCTGTTTATGTTTTGTATCTTTTTATGTTAGAGTCTTTTGTTAACCCTCTGGAAATTCTTTAGTTGTTTATGTATTTATATTTAAAAGTGAGCAATAAAAAATCTGACTGGAAACTGTGAATACAGGAATAGGGCTTATTGACTTTGAATTTCACAATTGCTTTTCTCTTTGGGCTGTTTGGTTGAGGAACCTCTTGTCAGTAACTTTATGTTTTTCTTCTTAGCTGTTTAAATTGGCTAGCCCTCTGGAAACCTAGTTGGGGGAGAAAGATTGGGGGTGAGGTAGTATCCTAGTGTTCCACTTGTGCTTGAGCTCCTTTGCCTGAGGCCTTGTTCTCACAAAAGTGCCTGCTCTTCTCAGTTGTGCCCCTTGTCCCCTGTGCAGAGAGCCTCTGTTTTATGTCCTTAAGAAAATAAACCTCCTGTATTTTGCTGGGGTGGGGGAAGGGATGTGAGACCTGATTGCTTGGTAAATCACTTCAGCCAGTCTTCTTTATCTTAGTGCCTTTACTCCTACCACTTTTACCCTTGTTTAAGTAAAATGTTATTAATTCACATTGATTTGTATAATTGAGAAAACTTACTTTGAAAGTTTTTATTTTTTACTGTTCATTTCCTTGCTTTTAGTTCCCTTAGGCTTCCTGTTTCTTCTCTGCTTTTCTAATCTTAGAACAGGATGGCCTCAGGCATGTGTATTAGAAGCAAGGAGATCATACATTTTAGTTTGCCTGGAACAGTCTTGGATAATGCCTAATTATTAATTGCACTCCATTTTAGTCTTAGAAGTGGGTTCTGTCTGGACAATAAAAAATACAATTATCCTACTTAAAAGCTAATTTGGACATGAGGGCTTATTTTGTTTGGTTTTGTTCATTTTTAATCATACAATAATTATCTTCTGGTTCAGTAACTGGTTTACTCTACAGTATTATGAACAATAAAATAATGAACATTATTTCAGATTTTAGTGCTTTCTTAGGTAATACCTTTGGGCTTTTAGTTTAATTGACATTGGTACATTTGTCAGATAATCTGACAGATCCTCCCATTAAACATTTATAACTATCTTTTCAAAACAAATTTAACACTAAATCACTGATACTGAAGTTTCTCAACAAATTGCATTTGGAAGTCTAAAGAAGTCCCTCAAAGAGAGTTTTGTAAGTAATGGGAAATGATTAAGTTCCCAATCTGTTTGGTTGTTGTGCAGTATATTTTAAATTGTCACCAAGTATAATGTTTGTAGGTTTTATCATTGATAAACGATTTTTTGTCTAATATCCATCTTAATACTCACTGTTTTGGAAGTTGATTTATTAAAGTAGAACGCTACTAAGAGTTTGGAAGATCCAAGAGGGTAGATTTAAGCTTTCCACATAGAAAACTTTTTACAATAAAGACATCTAGGCTGGGCGTAGTGGTACCTATAATCCTACTGGCTCTGGAAGCTGAGGTAGGAGAATCACAAGTTCAAAGCCAGTCCCAGCAGCTTAGTGAGACCCTAAGCAAATTAGTGAGACTCTGTCTCAAAACTAAAAAATAAAAAGGGCTGGGGATGTAGTTCAGTGGTTAAGCACCCCTGAGTTCAATCCCTGGTACAAACAACAACAACAAAAATAACATCTAGATATTATTTTTAAATATTTAAAAAATTTTAAAATGTTTTTTAAATTGCTTTACATTATTAACCTAGAGTAGTTACTTTGAATAAATTAAAGAATCGACTTGTTTTGCSTATAGATTCTTTTTTTAAAAATATTTTTTTAGTTGTTGATAGACCCTTATTTTATTTATTTATATGTGCTGCTGAGAATCAAACCCAGCACCTCACACATGCCAGGCAAGCGCGCTACCACTGAGCCACAGCCCCAACCCTGCCTATAGATTCTTATTGTCTTCATGTTTATTGATAAAGACATGTCCATTTCCTTGAGCTTCCATGGAATTGTTGTTTATGTAAAATAGAATGTATTTCCAGCTAAGTGTTGTCCAAAAGGATATTCAAAATATAGATATCATCTTTTGAAAATTTAATAGATAAAAATAAGTGTAACTATTTAATAAACAAATAATGGTAAACAGTAGAGTTCAAACACGTCTGTTATTGAATAGCATTTAGAAGTAAGGAAATTCCTTTTAAGTAATAGACTTGAAATTACAGAATTATTTTCTTACCAGATTTTATCATGTTTATAATTGATATATGTTCACATTTAGTTATTAAATAAAACTGCATTTATGAAATATTTTTGTGTGAGTGGGCAAGTAAAATGCACGAGTACTTTACCAATTTTCTGTGTAGATRGTGATACTTACAGTTCTAAATAATATATATTTCCCCCAAATGGAGAAGTCAATGGTCAGACGTAATAAACTTTTTTCTTTAAAACTAAAGTAAAAACTTCTAATTTTAATTAGAATTAGATGCAGTTAGTAATTAGATCAAGTAGTGTATTTACTAATTAAATAAAACCCCTGTATGATCTTCCAGTTTAAGCTATTCAGCTATAGTCAAAGAATGTCATTGAAGAGGGACTTGGGAGTCTTCTAATCCAACTCATCTTTTTATAGATGAAAAACTTGAAGCCCAACATATTATCTTAAATTTTCATTTCACTTAATTTATATAGATGATCTTCAATTTATAGTGGCTTGACTTATAATTTTTCAAATTTATTATGATACAAAAGTGATAAGATTCAGTAGAAACCATACTTCGAATTTTGTTATTTTCTCAGGTTAGCAATATATGGTATGATACTCTCTGGAGATGCTGAGGAGCAGCAGTAGACTCGCTCCCAGTTAACTACCTGATCCTAAGAATAAACGACTGATACTCTACAGTGTACTGTGYTGCTAAGCTATGATGTTTGGTGGGTTAGGTATATGAAATGCATTTTCCACTTAAAATATTTGCAACTTATGATAGGCTTATCAGGAAATAACCCATTGTAAGTCAAGGAGCTTCTATATTGACATATGAATTCTAAAAATTCTAGTAAAAATAAATAATGATATTACAAGAAAAATATAAAAATTATTCTTTTTATTTTCTTCCTTTTCTTTCTACCTTATCAGTTTAGGGGGAAACAGTGATTGAATGTGACTATGAGCCCAGAAAATAAAAGATCAGGCACATGTATCCATGTAAAACTTATGCCAGTTAAATATGTCCAGGATTTGCATTAATATCAGTAAACCACTCTTCCAATTTTTATTGATAAGCAGTACAAGAAAATTTTAAGAAAAACCTAAAATTGATAAGATAATCAACTAACTTATTTTTTTCTGTCATTTGGAAAAAAAGGTTAACACTATTCAGTATTCAATTTATTATATAATATAGTCAGGAAATGAATTATTTGTGAAAAAGAAATATGGGAACCCCTATCAATGGTCAGCTCCATTTCATCTTTCCATAAAATGAATTGTTTTTATTTTATACAGACATTTGAAATTAGGAAGACGTACAACTTAAATGACAAAAGTCTTAATGATAGAGTTTAAATCTACTTTACTATGTTACACAGCATTCCTAACTCTTCATATTATCAGAATTTGCAGTCTATCTCAGAAAGGTACCAGATAGGACACATTCAGGAATAAAGGATTCATGGTAGAGTGCAAGTAGTAGGAAGTGAAGTTAAGGATTGGATTAAGAGCTGGCAAAAATTTGGCTGCAATGTATCAAATCATCCAGGCCACTCCACTGTTATGGAGCTGACCCATTTATTTCTTGCCACCAGCTCCTGAAGGGTGTGTCCATCTGTAGATTTTTTCCTATGYAGCTCACGGGCTTTTGTGTCACATGTAAATGTACTGGTGGGTCTTTAGCAGATAAGGAGTTCATCCATTTATTTCAAAGGTTCATGGCATACATTTTTTTTTTTACATTTTTTTTTCTTTCAGCGGGGGACAAGTCATTTTCTTTGTTTTGGGGGATGGTTCTGGGGTTTGAACCCAGGACCTTGTGCATGTGAGGCGAGCACTCTACCAACTGAGCTATATCCCCAGCCTCTTGTCTTATAAGGATAGCAGTTGCATTGAATTAGGGCTTCACTCTTAAACTCATTACACCTTAATTATCTCCTTAAAGTTTCTCAGATAGTTACACTGGGGGTTAGGATGCACTGTTCAATCCATAACAAAGGAGGTGTACTATATAGCTCTCCATACACACTAATGTGGTTATCAACACTTATTTTGGAAATTAAAGTGCCAACTCTTCTATCATTTTTCTCTTATTCATATGTTTACATATATTATCTTTAATGTTATTTTTGCAGTAATATTTTTAAACCACTCCATTTTTCCATTTTCATGTATAAGAACACTTGATCAGGCACATATGGACCAGTCTGTGAGTTACAGTGAAAGCTGATGTGCATGGGCACCACAATCAGCCTTTCACATAACAGAATTTCTATCCTTTTCTTACTTATCTCACATATATGATGTGTATACCAAGGGAGGCCATAGCTTTTATTTATATATTATTTTAAAAGATAATTTCTTTCTGGTATTTTTAGATAAATGTGGATGAATATTCATACGAATAGTTTCTACTTGCCCTTAGGGTGGGTCATTTTCTACTGTTCTAAACAGATAAATACAAATGTGATCTCAATTGAGAGTGGATTCACAGGTGTTCATTTTGTTGTGCTTCATTTATATACATTACATATTTTCTGTGCATTCTAAATTTTGAAGATATTGAAGCCAGTTTCAGACATCATGTGTTACAAATATTTCAGTTTCTAACTCTAAAAGGCTTAGATTGTTACAAAACATAACCATATTACCATATCTAAAGTCATTACAGTCATCTGTAATAAGCAGAGGATATTCCTGGATTGCCTACAAACATCAGTTGTTCTTCCCTTAGTAAAATTATCGTTGAAGGACAGTTCTTGGTAGACCCCCCTCTCATAGCTCACCCCCACCCCCAGCTGGACTCCATGTTTCTAGGAATATGGTGTCATATCAAAGATCCTTCCATTCCAGACATACTTTATTAGGTGAGAATTATAACTCTAGGATTGAAAGAGAAGGCCTTTTAATTGGGGAGAAGAGAGAAAAAAATAGGTCTAATCAGTTTGGAAACCAGACCATGTATGTGGGTGAACTGGGCAATGGAAACACTGGTTCTGAATGTGGAGTAAGAAGCAGAGATTTATTGACTTTGAGGTTTTTTGTTTGTTTGTTTSTTTTCCCAGTCCTGGAAATTGAACTCAGAGGTGGTGTATCAATGAGCTAAATTCCCATCCCCTTTTTKTGTGTGTGTGTGTGTATGTGTGTGTTTGTTTTGAGAAAAGGTCTTGCTAAGTTGCTGAGGCTGACCTTGCACTTGCGATCCTCCTGCTTCAGCCTCCTGAGTCACTGGGATTACAGGTGTGCACCACTGCACCTGACTGATGGCTTCARTGTTCTTAGAGAAATTTTTGTCCCTTGATGGACTCATCAAATTGCCTTGGGTCTTCATATGAATAATGTTTGCTAGAAATTCTTCTTTAGTGGTAGAATATCGATCAGTATTTCTGATACTGTTTAAAGTCTGCATTTCTTGTGTTTACCTGAATAAAAAAAAATGAAGGTAGACAAATTGGACATCACTAATTTTATCTCCTCATAATTTAAATATAACTATAATGCACTTTAAAAGATTTTATGCATATTTCAGAAACATTGCTTTAGTGATTTTTCTACTTTTAAAAAACAGTAGATTTAAATATATTTAAGAACAGAGTGTAATTTTTGCTTCTTTGTGCTTCAAAATTTAAGGGAAAAAAATTACTTCACCTGAACTGACAGATAGTAAGATTACTTTTAATTCTTCACTGAACATAAGAGTTTTCTTTGATGTCTTGGAAATTCCTCTTTCTTTAACATCAAACATGATTTAGTTTTGTAAAATTAGTCTTCTGGGATATGTTATGTAGATAAACATGAATTTCCAGTAATAAGAAAAACTTTTTAATAATGAATGTTTAATAGAATTTAAGATTATAAGCAAAGAGTTTATAATTAAGGGTAACTATATTTTTTAAAAGGGAATCAGGGAAAGGCTGCTTTTWTAGTAAAATTGTAGTAAATATTTAAATTAGATTATTTCCCTTTTGAGTGTGTATATTAAACTAAGAGTAATTCTGGCGTAAGTGAAAGTGGTAGTGTGTTTAAGATTTAGAACATGTGGAAGGTACTTATTATTTAAGGTTCTTATGTAGGCCTGGTAAAAGTCTGTGTCTATAACTTGAAGCATGTTAGCAGTAACCTAAAGAAGATACAGCCTCTTTAATATACAGTTGATTGTCTTAAGAATCTAATTGTTAATTTAAAATTTGTAAAGATTTGTTGATTTTACTATAAACAGAAAGATTGTGCTTTAAGGCATTTTTAAGTTAATTTTTTGCTGTGCTAAATTAGAATATAGCAACATGGTAATTTTCATTAGTTTAATCTTATTTGAAATTCCCCTTTCAGTTAAAGAATTGATACCAGACTTTCTGATGATGTTTGCAGAGAGATATACTTACAATTATTTTATCTGTTAACTAAGAATTTCAAAATACTCTGCACATTTACTTTGTATTCCTATAGCAGTTTGGATAGTGTATGCTGCCAAACTGGTTCTTCAGGATTGACTGACTACTTGTAATGGCCACATGATGAGTTATTAATAAATAGATTTAAGAACAGAGTGTAATTTTTGCTTCTTTGTGCTTGACACTGAACATGTTACATTATTTTAAAAGTATTAAAAGTATGGGAAATGCAAAGACTGATGCTCAAGTTTTAGTATTATACCTCTGTTTACCAGACTAATTATATTGAGCAGAAATGTCAACCTTGCAGATATATCATATGTTTCAGTTTGTACAACTTTCTATTGGACCTTCTGAATTTGTCTAAATGTTTATTGTTCTCTCCTAGGTATTGGATCCTGAACAAAACCATAACTTCACAGATCATTATCTAAATGTGGCCTTTGACCTTTCCCAAGTTCTTTTTATAGCTACTGCCAACACCACTGCTACTATACCACCTGCTTTATTGGATAGAATGGAGATCATTCAGGTTCCAGGTACTTAATTCACAAATAAAATCATTATTTTTGACATTTCTTGCTTTTCTGAGCATACCCTTTAAAATTAGTCATGCTGTGGAATTTTGAGTATTGAAATTAATGTGCCAGTGTATAATCTTCAAAGGTTCTGAATGAGGTATATAAACCAGCTTTTTATATAGAGTTAAAATCTGGGGGGCTCGATTGTGGCTTAGCRGTAAAGCATTTGCCTGGCATGTGTGAAGCACTGGGTTCCATTCTTGGCATCACATGTAAATAAATAAAGGCTCATCAACAACTAAAAAAATTAAATATTTTAAAAAAATGTAGGACAGTAAAACTTTTTGTTTGTTTATACCATAACAGGTAAGAATACGTGTATGTTCTGTAAGACATCAAGAATAAATTTTGACATGTTCAGATTTAACCTTGTTTGTATCTTAAAGTGCATGGTGCTTTTACCTTTCTCTTTAGTAGAATCTATCAGGTAGTTACTATTTATTTATTTGTAAATAAATCCAGTGGCTTTTCACCATGGACACATCCCTAGCCCCTCTTTTGACATTTTATTTTGAAACTGGGTCTTGCTAAAATGCCCAGGTTGGCCTGGAACTKGAACTTGTGATCCTCCTGCCTCAGCCTCTTAGGTTTCTGGGATTATAGACTTGCACCACCACACCCAGCATATAAACCATGTCTTCTTCACTGGAGTGTCCAAAGATAAAATTCTGTAGTTTCTAATTCTTAAATTCTAGCTTTTTTGCGGGGGGTGGTTACTAAGGATTGAACTCAGGGGCACTAGACCACTGAACGTTGCAAGCCCTGTTTTGTATTTTATTTAATTTTATTTAGAGACAGGATCTCACTGAGTTGCTTATCACCTCCCAGTTGCTGAGGCAGGAGATCTTGAGTTCAAAGAGGCTGGCTTTGAACTTGAAATCTCCTGCCTCAGCCTCCAGCGCTACGGGGATTATAGGTGTGTGCCACTGCACCTGGCAAATTCTAGCCTTTTTACCTAATTTTAATTGCTTAGAATTATTTTGCCCAGGAGGATATAAAAAATCAGAGAGTACTGTAAAATGAAAATAGAGTAGAATCTAAATGTAATCTTCATGTATTTTTCATAGTAATCTGAAATATATTTTTACTATTTGGTGAGTGATAAGATTTCTTAATTATCTGAAAGCCCTGCTGATTCCTGTAAGTAGTTTTAAAATATGATGGAATAAAAGTTGSTTGTGTGTATTTATAAGACTAAAATAAATAAATACTGCAACTCAATTGCCTGGAAACCTCAAATTAAGACAGGAAATTCGTAACTGCATTRATGTAGAGTAGAACAATCAGGGCATCTGCTGTGGGGGAGCAGGTGATGCCACCTTCTTCCTCTGGCAGATTTGGTCATCCTGTTTTTTAGCTTTTTTGGTCGTTTTAACTCCTCTTTGTATTCAAAAGTTGCTTTTTCAGGTCTTATTTAAAATTTTGTTTTGTTAAACAGAAAGGATGCATTAGTTTGGGTGGAATTTTTTTTCTGACAGAAATTAAAACAAATGAAGCTTTTAACTAAGAACATAAAGTCTCTTATTTTATATTTACATATTTTTCCAGCATATTGTTGGGGTAAAAAACTTTTATAGGAACATGTTAGTTTTTGTTTTGTTGCTCAAATTTATAGTCAGAGTTCTAATAAAAAACTCCTTTGGAGTCATTCCCTTGGAACCCACTGTTTATCTAGTTGAAATTGTGAATGTGTAAATTTTTCAAGAATGTATCAAATTATGCTAAAGGAAAAGGATGCATTATTTTCTTATGTAAAATTTCAGAGCATTTGAGAATGAGGAGATAACTGTCTCTAAGTTTTGAGATTTGTTTGAGAAATTTTCTTGTTCTGATTATAGTATTAATTAAAGTAATACTTAAATTCATTCCAAGTACAAGATCTGTGGTATTAGCATTTGATTCACTAAAAAAGCATGGCATTATGGGAGCTATGTGAATAATTACAGAAGAGGGTTCCTTCTTTTCCAGGGTATACACAGGAGGAAAAGATAGAGATTGCCCACAGGCACTTAATCCCAAAGCAACTGGAACAACATGGGCTGACTCCTCAACAGATTCAGATCCCTCAGGTTACTACTCTTGCCATCATCACCAGGTTAGTCACCCATCCTAAGGCTTCATTAATGTTTGAGCAGATTTTTTTAGTATCTTCCCATAGTATACATTTCTCTTTCTCCAACAAATTTCTAGCAAACACTGCCATAGCTATTGATTTAAATAAGACTCTGTATGAACTAGAATTTCATAGAGATTCAACTTAGAATATCTTCATTGATAAGTACCTTCATTGAACTAGAATTTCTACTTTGCCACAGTAGAAATTTAAGGGATTAATTTGATAGATCAAGAACCAAACACATGAAAATAAAGAGACACTTGTTATGCCTTGAATCTTGAAAGTTGCTTAATTTGCGTAAGAGGTGAGTTGCAATTTTCAGACATCTGTTTTAGGTTATTCTGATTTCCTTTTCTTCTGTTTGAGAGGCTTTTAAAATCTCAGMGTTTTGATCTTCAGAATTAACACTGAAACAATAAAGAAGGTGCTTCCCCAAGTTTGCTAACAAGTGCTTAAGCCTGTGGCAAGCACAGCATAAATTATTTGAGTATTGTAGACTGTGTATTTATAGACTGTGTGTTTGAGTGGAAAACATACCCTGTTGAAAATTTTTATCTACCATAGCCTCTTACAGTTTTCCTGGCTCAGTGTTACAGATCCATTGCATCATCCAGCAAGTTGTATAGGCTGCCAAACACTCATGTACCCTTTTCTAGTAAATGCTGTTTTTCAAAAGATATAAAACATCTCTCTATATCTTAAAAGTTTGGCTTATCAAACTTTATTTTTATTTATGCCAACTTTCTTATGGGTCTGTTTAAATTTAAATATAAAATAGTAAGACTAAATCTAACCTGAGCGTTCTTTTTCTTTTTTTAATTTAATTTTATTTATTCTTTTTAGATATGCATGCCAGTATAATGTATTTTGGCATATTATATATATGTGGAGTATAACTCATTCTAATTAGCATCCTATTTTTGTGGTTGCACATGATACAGAGTTACCCTGGTCATGTATTCAAATACAAGGATAGGAAAATTATGTCCAGTTAATTCTACTCTCTTTGTAATTCCCCTCCCCACTCCCTTCCCTTCATTCCCTTTTGTCTAATCCAATGTACTTCTATTATTCCCCTCATCACCCTCCCTGGGCATTGTTTTTCTAAACTTCCTTTGGGCTATACTGTGTAAATAATTCCAGGAGAAATAAATTGGGTGATTTGCCAAAATCTTCCAGACATATTATTGTACCAGATAGTACCTATGATATCTTCTGTGACTTTCAACAAGACACTTAACCCTTTTGATAGCTTTTTTCTATATAAAATCCAAGTGATAGAGATATATCTTATCTAAATCTGAATAATGATGATTCTGAAGAATAAACATTATTTGTATTTCCCATTGTCTCCTGGAGAACTGTTTCATTTCTTATTTATTTCATCATTATTATTACTGTAAAACATCAAATCATAAAAGCTATGGACATTAGGAAATCTCTCTGAGCAGTTTTATTAGTTTTTATCTACCTATGTTTATATTTAAAACCTTACAAGTATATGCTACTCCAGGCAAGTTTCAGATATGTAGTAAGCTACTAGACTTACAGCATAGAGTATCTGTGTTCAAGTTTCTCATTTTTGGAGTGTGTCATAATCATTCCAGTCTTACTTCCTCCCAGTGTAACCAGCCTGTTTGAATACTTCCAGTCCCAGGATAGTGAGAACTTTGCCATAAAGATATTTTTTATATCATTCCCTATAATTTTCTATTTCTGCTTTATAGGAGCATCTAGAATTTAAGTATAATTCCTCCTTTTTGCATTCCTTCCAAAATAAAAAGAAATACTATCAGATATCAGATATATATACCCCATAAATAGTCTCTTCTTCAAGCTAAACATTCCTGTTATCTTTACCATTCCTCTTGACCTGGTTCCAAGGCTTTTTACCTTTATGATTAGTCTTCTGAATGAATGTATCAGTGTACCTTTTATAATGAAATACTCAGAGTATAACGCATTATTTCAAATATAGCCTGAACAGTTCAGAGTGGAAGAAGATCATATTTTTCTTATTCTGAATATAATTCTCTAGATTCTTAGCTCTTTTGAGATATTATTTTGCCTTTTCAGTTAATTTTTGCTAAGCTTGGCATACCCCATTCTGCGTTTATAGAGTTTAGTTTCTTAAAGCCAAAACATTGAAATTTGTAGTTATGTATATTTCATTGTTAGTTTTTTATGTCTTCTGAAAATCAGCATATATAACATCCTATGTTCAAGTCATCATGAGAAACATCAACCAATTCTTTTTTTGGGGAGTGGGGGTTTGCTAGGGATCAAACCCAGGATCTCACACATGCTGGGCAAGTACTCTGCCACTGAGCAACATCCTCCACCCCAAACAGCCAATTCTTGTTTTCTTATTTGACCCTGGTTATTCCTCCTTTTACAATTTAAAGATATCAAATAGGAGTTTGTATGTCTACTTTTTTGGTCAGTTGTTAATGATATAATCTGTGAATTGGTTTCTAGCCCATTATTGTTCTAAACACTTAAAGAGGTACTTTTGTTGTTGCATATCCTGATTATTTTTGGCTACCTCCAATTCCTTCTGAACCTCACGGTCTCATTTTTGTATTTTCATTCCATTCCTTTGTAAGCTTATTCAGACCCTCTGCTTTCATCTTTTGTCCCATTAAACCTAAGCTGATCATGTAGTTGTCTAGGAAGCTACTTTGGGGTTTTGGTTTTTCTTTATATTTTGATTTATTTATTTTCAGGATACCGTCCTGTTTCTTCCTTATTTAAATTATATTCTGGGGCTGGGATGTGGTACAATGGTAGAACAGTTACCTAGCATGTGTGAGACCCTGAGTTCAATCCCAGTGTCAGGGTAAAAAAAGGAAATTATATTCAGTTATAGAATGTCAACTCTATTTTTATGTCCTTTTATCTTTTTGACTGAAATGAGTTTTACTTTATTTTACCAACTKCTTTAATCTGTCTTTTCTCACAACTTTTAAAACCTCCTTCCCTAGAATGTCTAACTACCTAAATCAAATCCAGTTTTTCAGATAAAACAAATTTTCTGCCTGATATTGTCCATTCCTATCCCACCAAAGTTGATTACACCAAAAATGGTTTATGGAATGGGTTGTGGAATTTGCTGTAATATGTAAGTTTTTTAGGTAGCTCTGCTTAACTACATGTAGAGTATTTTACAAAATCACAATAAAAACACACAGAGTCCCTAGGTGATTAGCAAAGTTCCTAGTAAAAAGTTGACTTCTGTCCTACATTCAGTGCAGTTTCTGATTTTTGTCTTTTTTTTTTTTTTTTTGATACCAGGGGGGCACTTAACCACTGAGCAACATCCCTACCACTTTTTATTTTATTTTCTCAACACTTTTTATATTTTTATTTTGAGACAGAGTCTTGCTAAATTGTTAAGGGCCTCCCTAATTTGCTGAGGCCGGCTTTGAACACCTAATCCTCTTGCCTCAGCCCTCAAATCACTGGGATTACGGGCATGCACCACTGCAGTTGGCTCGATTTCTGATTCTTTTTGTAGTATTTCAAGTAAAATTAATTTAGAATTTTCTTAAATTGACAAATTTTGCTTTAGAAAACTCTTAAATATATCACAAAATAAATGGTATTTTATATGCTGACAAATTTACTTTGTCAATATAAATTGAAGGACCAGGACTGGGGTTGTGACTCAGTGGTTAAGTGCTAACCTAACATGTGTGAGGCACTGGGTTTGATCCTCAGCACCACATAAAAATTAACAAATAAAATAAAGGCATTCTCTCCATCTRCAACTATTAAAAAAAAAAAAACAGCGTACTACAGGGACACAGACACATCAATGTTTATAGCAGCACAATTCACAAATAACTAAATCATGGAACCAGCCCAGATGACCTTTAGTAGATGAATAAATAGAGAAACTGGTATTTATACACAATGGAATATTACTCAGCATTAAAAGAGAATAAAATCATGGCATTTGCAGGTAAATGGATGGAGTTGGAGAACAATGCTAAGTGAAGTTAGCCAATCCCAAAAAACCAAATGCCGAATGTTTTCTTTGATATGAGGATGCTGACTCATAATGGTGATGGGGTTTAGAGAGCATGGGAAGAATGGAGGAACTTTAGATAGGGCAAAGGGAAGGGAAGGATCATAGGGATAGGAAAGAAAGTRGAATGAGTCAGACATCATTATCCTAAGTATGAAGACCCAAATGGTGTGAATATACTTTATATACAACTAGAGATATGAAAAATTGTGCTCTATATGTGTAATATGAATTGTAATGCATTCTGCTGTCATATATAACAAATTAGAATTTAAAAATTTAAAAAATAAAGTTATTGTGTCCACCTCCATCTATAATATGTATATTAAATAAATAATAAATAAATTGAAGGACCAAGGATTTGTTTTTCGGTATTGGGTAAAAATTCAGGATAATCTATATAAAGGAAATATTTGTGGCTGAAAACACATCTGAATATTTAAGAAGTAACAATACTTACGTGAGACATTTTTGGTGTGAGTAAGTTCATTAGTCAAGGCAGAGTAAAAAAACTTTTAAATGTATACTGTTCCTTTAATAGAAAGGTTAGTTGTATTTCTGTCTGTTTTTAAGGTGGTATTTAGGCAAAATGAAGTATTTTTCTTTGTTCACAGGTACACCAGGGAAGCAGGAGTTCGTTCTCTGGATAGAAAGTTTGGGGCCATTTGCCGAGCCGTTGCCGTGAAGGTTGCAGAAGGACAACATAAGGAAGCCAAGTTGGACCGTTCAGATGTAACTGAGGGAGAAGGTTAGTGGCCTTGTTATGGTGCTCTCAGACCTGGCAGCTAGGAGTGAGTGGCACAATTAAATTGGATGTGGAGGATGGCGTTGTCATTGGGAACAGTGGCACGTGTGACTCCAGTGGCAAATGCACTCAGTGAATAAGTAATAACTTAAAGTTTGGTATAATTTATCAAGAGAGTTCTCTTTTACAAATAGTTCAGAGTATAAATGGAGTAATATTCAATATTAATGCTGTAAGGATATTGTAACTTCTTCAGATTTATAATGAAGATACACTTTATGTATGGGTTCTGGTGTTCCCTAATTTTTTTACCCACCCAGACAGTTGTTAAGTCTTTGAATAATGTATAGCATAAAAAGTTATTACAAAAAAAAAGAAAAGAAAAACTTACTACAATATTTAAAAGTCCAAGCTATCCAAGTACTACAAGAGCAGGTCTTTGTACTCTGAAAGAGCTTCATGTACGTAATTTTTCTGACACATTTTCTTTTATAGGTATATGACTAAATGCAATATAAATTATTTTTTCTTCAGTAATTGTGGAGGTAGTAATAGGAGGAAAATTCTTTTACTGGAATTAATGAAATGTAGATATTTCCTTTGTTACCCAGTTATGGTGTTTTAACTTTTGTTCCAGAACTGGTAGGGTGTCGCATTCTAGGACTAAACACTCAGGGTCACTCCAGGTGAACTGGGCTGCAAAATAATCACACAGAGACAGAAAAATACCTTTTCCTTTGGGTCCTGTGACATCTTCTCCAACCTTAGGGGTCCATGGAAAGAGAGAGAGAGAGCCTGTTATTGGGGAGAAGCCATTCAAATGAGGCAAGAGGTAGGATTACAAGTGAGTGTAGCTCACCCTCTGGGTATCTCCTACTCCTATAGACACACCTTGTTAGCCATGTTATCTGAGTGAGGGAAAAGACTAATGCACCAGACTACAGTGATCTTTCAGATCCCTGTGGTGCATCAGGACTTAAAGGTGCGTGTGCGTTTGGAGTGGCACCCCACAGTAGGAGTTTGGGTTTATCACACCATGCTAGTATGCAGAACATAACTTGCCATAACAAATATGACTTGAATAGTAGGGAACTGAAGATTGCTTTCAGTAAAGAGATTTATTAGATGTCTACCATTTATTAGATTATTAGATTTATTAGTTTACCATTTCCAAAGCTCTTTCCAGAAAAGAGTTAAATGAATGTGATCAAAGAACCATAATTTGTGCTAGGCTTAGAAGAACAGACACAGTTAAAAAGCATCTTCCTTGTTTTACTTCTCACTTACTGAGCTCACAACAGCACTGGCATCGAAGAGCAGATGTTCACATAATTCTCATATTTCTGTATGATGTTTCACCCCCACTCCCACTTCGAATGGAACTCCACTGGTTCATTTTTTCCAGAGAATAAACCAGCCGTCTTTTGATGAATTGAACAGGGGTCATGTCCTCATTGTGTGAAGTAGGGATAGGGCTGTTAAACTAAAATCATTTCTTATATTGACTTTAAAATGTTTGTTTGAACTCCCTTCTGTGGTTTGAATATATCCCCCAAAATTCATATGTTGGAAACTTCATCACTGTTGAGAGGTGAGATCTTTTAAGAAATGATCAGGTCATGGGACCTCTACCTTTATGAATGGATTAAAGTCATTATCTTAGAGAAGTGGGTTAATTATCATAGTAGTTTCCTGATAAAAGAATGAATTCAATCCCCTTCCCTCTTGTCTCTCATGGGTTCTCTTACCATGCAGTCCTTTCTGCATGGTATGATGTAGCAAGAAGTCTTTCTCCAGATGCACCCTCAATCTTGGACTTCCCAACCTCCAGAACTATAAGCCAAATAAATTTCTCTTCACTGCCCAATCTTTGGTATTCTGTTATAGCAGCATAAAAGAGACAGACAGCCCCACTTCTCACCCACACTTTCAGGGATACCTTACATTCCTACCCTTGATAGGATTTCATGACTCAGATGAACTTGCTGCTGCTGATGAAACATCCCTGTCCTGCAGACACCAAGGTCTCTGCTTTCTCTAGCTTGCAGAGTTTTCATTATTTTTTGGTCCACCCACTTTCTGCYTTCCAAATTTTGTCAGAATCTCCTCTCAGTGTTGTCTTCTTTCTCATTCCTTTTGTTCTTGTAGGTTTATATATTTTATTTTTTAATTCTCATGATAATAGAATTTGAGAGAAATAATAAAGATAATCTACTGTTTATAGAAATCTGAATTTTTAGGCACTCTCTCGCCTAGGACAGTTTCTATCAAGAATAGAAATCACATTTGCAGGTAAATGGATGGAGTTTGAGAATATAATGCTAAGTGGAGTAAGCCAATCCCCAAAAAACAAATGCCAAATGTTTTCTCTGATATAAGGATGCTGATTGATAATGGGGTGGGGGAGCATGGGAGGAATAGACAAATTCTAGATAGGGGAAAGGGAAGGGAGAAAAAGAGAGGGGGCATGGAGGTAGAAAAAGCAGTGGGATGAGATGGACATCATTATTCTAAGTATATATACGAAGACACGGGTGGTGTGACTCTACATTGTGTACAACCAGAGGTATGCAAAATTGTGCTATATTTGTATAATATGAATTGAAATGTCATATATAACAAATTAGAATAAATTTTTAAAAAATAGGGATTGAACAATCCAGGGACACTTAACCACTGGGGGTCGGAGGGGAAATCACTGGTGTAGCTACAGTGGCAGTGGAAGACTGAGTCACCATTCCTTTTTTTCTAAGTATAAGACCTAGATTTACATGCTCCTGAATTTCTCCTTTTTTATTCTTATAGCACTCCCTTTGTGCTGTGACTTCAAATATCTAATCCTTTGTCTTTTTGTTCTTGTCTGTGGTATAATAGGAAGATAGAGGGTAAAATGAATTTCTCTATATTGTAAAAATTTAAGATTGAGATAGTATTTTTTAGAATTTATAATATAGGGATTTGATGTCCAGGGAAACTGTCCATAATTATAGTGTGTTGCTTAATATTTATATATACATCCATTAGCATATTTCTAATAATATCTGTGCTCTTATTTGATATTTTTAAATAACCCACAAATATTCAAGAACTTGTTCAAACAGCTTGTGAACTGTGTATGACCCTAAAGTTTTTATGGTTAACATTTAATTGGTCCTTTTGTTTTTCTTTTTCTTCTTTTTTTTTTTTTTTTTWAATCATAGAACATCTCCTAAGTGATGATGTAGCTAAACAGATTTGGGTAGTTAAGGTATTATCCAGGTACTTCAAATGAACAATTAGGATAAATATTTGTCTCTTGAGGATGATCTTGGTTGTAGCCTTATTGAGGCACAGATATTACTCCATATTGGTCCTAATATTGTAAGATATTCATGAGTTACTGTAAATAATTGTACTCCAGAATTTTATAGAATAATTATAATGAATCTTGAAGTGGTGTGTATGACATCAACCAAGCTAAAAGAAATATTTCTACAAGAGTTTGCATTCATTTTTCAAGCCAAAAATTTTAAATGGAGCTTAGCAACTGAAAGTTTCTCATTAAGAAATTAATTATTTCAAATAGGGGTATAAAAGAAAACAGTTGTTTTAGAAATTTCAAGTATAACACTGTAGATTATTTTTAATGTTAAAAATAATGATGGACTTAGAGTTACTGCCAGGAAGAAAAGTGACTTCAGGCCATGAGGTTCAAAACATGCAGAAACCTCCAGTGTATCAAACCAACTTTCTGGAATAGACCCAAGAGTCTCTGTCTGTGAACAGTTGTTTTTGTATTTGTGGGATTTTAACCGACAGTTAAACAAACCAGAAAAGAAGACAGTGAGATGTGCAGTTGATCAATGTAGAGAAAGAATATTTATGGTTTCAGTCATCTACCTATTAAGTATGGAAATCATTTCATAATAGCAATGCTGCTTATGTTTTTCTGTATACTATCAGTGTGTTCTAAATTGCTCTTTTTWTCCTGGGATATTAGTTGAGTTGAAGGGTAAAAGCACATGACTCCAGTTTTATTCTGGTTTGTTTGTTGTTTGTTTGTTTTGCTTTCCTTTAGCCAAGACAAATACTCCATGTATTCAGTTTTATACACTTGTGTGTTTCTCTGTAGAGTTAGGCAAATGTCTGTTTGTTCAATTTCTCATGTTCCATATATGATCAATTACTACCTGGTAGGAATTTTTCCTTAGAAGTTCCCATTAGTAAATAATTTATCCAGTTTTATCCTAATTTGATTCATAAATCTCTTCTCAGCCAGGCCCATGACACATGCATATCATCTCAGTGTCTCAGGAGGCTGAAACAGGAGGATCACAAGCTCAAGGCCAGCCTGGGCAATTTAGCAAGCCCAATTTAGCTATTTAGCAAGATCCTGTCTCAAAAATAAAAATAAAAAGGAAAGAGGATGTAGCTCAGCAGTAAAGCACCCCTAGGTTTAATCCCAATGTCAAAATTAATAAATAAATAAATCTCTTACCAACACTTTCTAATAAACCTTTGCTTAGCTGCTAAGTGCTGTTAACAAACATGTCAGACATATCAGGGTTATGATTTTATTTGTGTTTATTCAGCTTGGAATTTGCTGACCTTTTTGGATTTGTGGGCTACACTCATCGGTGGGAAAAATTGGGGCCATTATCTCTTTAGATATCTTCCCACCACCACCTTTTTTCCCTCCTCTATCTGAGATTCTAGGAGTCCTTTGAACTCTGTTACTTATCCTCTGTTCTACTTTTTGCATTAATTTTCTCTTTAATTCAGTTTGTATATTTTTGTTGCCCTATGTTCCAATTTATTATTGTTGACTTCTGCTATTAAATGTAGGGAGTATTTTCTACTTTTCAAATGTTGATTTGATTCTTTATAGTAGATTCCAATAGATTTTTTTAATTGAAATCATCTTTTCAGCTCTTTAACCCATCCTTTCCTCTGTATGTTTGGATATACTAATCATGGTTTTTAAAGTACCTATCAGAACATTCATYCCATTATCTGATTCACCT